ACTTAAAGAGTCTCCTTGAAATATTCCTCTCTTGATGGATACCTCTCCGGCACTGAATTGCGTATCTTGGGTGTTGAGATAGAGCCGTGTCTTCCAATTCGCCATAGCATGTGCCAGAAATTGTTTGATGTGGCACTCGATCCCATAAAGGTCAAGCACCTCTAACAGCCAAGAGTGAGGTATACTGTCAAACGCTTTCTGATAATCGATGTATGCAATGTACAGGGGTATTTTTTTCTTTTTGGCATAATTAGTTATGACAGAGTCTATAACAAGTTGCTCTTTACAGCCTCGAGACCCTTTTCGGCAACCTTTTTGCTCTTCGTCTAGTATAGTATTCCGCTCTAGGTGTGAATATATCTTTTCAGTAATTATAGCAGTCAATACCTTGTAAATAGTCGGCAGACAGGTGATTGGTCGGTATTTTGCCGGATCGTTCGAGTGATCGCCGCACTTTGGGATTAAATATGTTATTCCCATTGTTAAGAACTCTGGCAACATATCTGGTTGCTCTAAGATTGAGGTGTAACACTTTGCGAGTCGATCGTGAGCTGAAGTGAACGTTTTTAGCCAATAATTCTGAAGCTTATCTGATCCTGGGGCTTTCCAGTTTGGTAATTTTCGTAGAGTATTTACCACGTCATCTAAGCTTACTTTCCAGTCGAGCATGGTCCTAAAAGTTGAATTATTTGCTTTCTCTTGGCGGTACCATTTAGATGTGGAATGATTGATTGGATTGCTCCAAATTCCTGACCAGAAGGTATTGATGGCATCTGAGGTAGGAATCTGAACGTTGTTCTGATCTGTATCCCTCCGTCGCGCCTGCAAGTTCCTGTAAAAGCCTCGCTGATTGGTCTCGAATGCTCGATTTTGTTTCCGGCGTTCGTTGCTTTTCTTGTACCTTCGAAGTCGCAGTGCTGTAGCTGCTAGTTTTTGCTTCAGGTAGTCCAAGACTTCTACGGCTGTTGGGTTCTCCTCCGAGCAGTGACGGTTTATCACATTCTCTGCGGATCTCTTTACTCTCAGACTACAGTCAGACCTGCGGTACTGGGTGAGTATTGCTATGTCCTTTCTAATCTCCTCTATATTACGCGATATCCTCATCTCCCAGGCTGGCAGTTTTCTGTTTTTCCTTACACATTGTTCGCCAACTCTCTGTTCATTTAATTTTAGGACTGTAAGTGCTCCAATGTACAGGCTATGGAGCTCAGTCAAGGTTGTATCTTCTGTAATCTCGTTATCTATTACTTTGTTAACTTCAGCGATATACTCAGATGTATGGGGTTTTATTATTAGCTTTGGTAGGCTTGGTTTAAGAGTTGGTTCCACACCATCATACTTCATGAACAAGCCCCTGAACTCATCTGCGTATTTAGATGGTTGGCCATCGTTTATCTCAATTTGTTCTTGGTTTTCTGTGTGCTCTTGCGGAGCTTGTACCTGCATTCCTAATTCTATGGATATCTCTTCTCTTATTTTGTTTATCTCCTCTGCCGGCAATCTGTTGTTTATGAATACGGATCGGCGCTGGTCTAGTACGTTTTGCACAGTTTTGCCTTGCAGGTGAGGGAAGTTCATGATAACTTGTCTGTGTAGTTCAGTACCATAGGGCTCTGTAGATTTCTAGTTTAGTTATTCTGTAGTAGGAGCGAACCACAAATCTGTTCATTTCAGTGGTCCACGTGGTTCTTTTTCTCCTCCTATTGTCTGGCATTATGGGCTGGGGCTCTTGGCTTCCAGCAACATGATTGCCATCTTCGACCCCAGGAAGCTGTTGGATGGGGTCATTCGAGTTGCTTCTCACACTATCTGTGGGGGGCTTTCGCTGGATGACGACCGGGTGCGACCTTCCCCTACGCTCCCTGCCGGACGCGGACCTCGTCGCATAGCGTCGAGTCCCGATTACGTCGTTACATTCCGAGGCTTCATTTGTTTTTTTCTCCATTTCTGGGTAATTGTGTTCTCTTTTGATAGGTAGGTAAACTCAGGCGTGGAAGAGAGACAAAAACCACGCCTGGATGAACAGGAGGTGTGCTGGCCGTACTGACTTTCCTTCGGTGTTAATAACAGTAGCTCAACCACTTGGTCGAGGCCAGACGTTGCGTGCTGGCTGTACCGTCTACGTCGTTACGGTAGCGGGTTTGAAACTGCTGGCGGCAGTCCCTTACCGGCCAGACCCCTATTATTATATATTATTATTATTATTATTATTATTATTATTATTATATTATTATTATTATTATATTATTATTATTATATTATTATTATATTATTATTATTATTATTATATTATTATTATTATTATATATTATTATTATTATTATTTTATTATTATTATTATATTATTATTATATATTATTATATTATTAGATTATTAAT